AATAGTTTCTTTGACGCTCGCGTTTGCGACTTATTGCGTGTGTGAGTGTGTCTTGAAATTGTACTTGGTGCTATGTGCACTTCTTTTGCGGGCAAAAGGTTTGAGGATATTTTGTCGTCAGTGAGTTGGATTTTTTGGTAGGTTTTTCTAATCAGCGCACGGCATTGCTTTCGAAGAGGGGCCGTTACTTTTGCCCAAGGCGCTGCAATGTCTGTGGTGCATACGCTTTTCGCCAAATGGGAAATCCGCTCCGATCATCAAATCGCAAAACATCCGATTGCATTTTTTGGCGTGAGCGGGCCTCGTCGACTACAGCTGTAGCACTCGGTCCCTACAAACAGACAAACCAACAAACAAACAAAAACAGCGGTGAAACATGGCGGCTAATTAAAGGAGGGCAAAACCTAGCTGCGGCGCACAGGCTTTGCCGGTGTTGGCCGTTCAGCACAAGCTACGGGGCCTCAGCGACCGATCCACAACAACAGTGGGCCGTCGCCCAGAGCTGTCCAAGACCATCGGTGGAGCCCAAGTCAAAGCTCCGGCCGCCGTTCTCGTTCCGTCGAACAACGGTCAGCCCCGAGGTCCTGTTGTGTCACGATCGTGCACGGAGAATCCACAAGTCCACGAAGCCGACAACCAGTGGCGAGGGCCAGAAGACGACCCTTCGACGTATGTCGATAGTCATGGACAATGGGACTGACCGATGGGGTCCAGTTTCCTTACTGGGCACGCTCCGACGTCGAAGGGGGCCATTGATCCAGCAGGCGCTGCATGTCGCTGCCGCTGGTCGGGAAATGAGACTCCCGCAGAAGGTAAAGCAGTTGGTACTGGCCCTCCGCATACAAGTCCTTGAGGCGGTAAAAGCCATACTGAAGCGTGTCTTTGTCTGGCTCATGAAGATGCGGCATGAGCTCCTCGGAAATGAATGGGCCCGGCCCAATTCCACCCTGCTCCCTGAAAGTCTGAGCCGCCGCTCGCCAGCTGTCCTGTCCCCAAGGGTTGCCAAGCCGATACCGTGGACGGCTACCGTCGGGCATAGCATCCTGATTGGACTCTTGTGCCACCAAGCGATGGAGTAGAACTTGGGCCCTGCAGTCCCACGCATCGAAAAGGGCATAGCGCCACAGGCGTTCTGGGAAACAGAAGTCCATTTTTCGAGGGCCGCGCAACCAGAACACGACAACAGCACTGAGCTCCCAACCGGAGGTGGTGGCAGCTGTGCGAAGGCGATACAATGCGGCATGCAATAGCCCTGCGGACTGGAGGGGGAGCGTAGGCTGTGCTTGCAAACCCAGGGAGGATTCTAGGGGACCCTAATATAGTACCCTAAATAGTAGGATCCCTATTATATGAGGATCCCAAAATAAAGTACCCCGAATTTTTCGGAAACTCTATATACACCCCTTATAGACCCCTTTCAAGGGATCCTTATAGTACACTTATGGTAACTCTATAAAGGACCCCCAGGGTCCCCCCCATGTAAAGTTTGCATGCGGGCTTAAGGGGCTTAAGGGAAGGCTTCAGAGGGGACCTCAAGGGGGACTTGGGAAGCACACTCTCCATCCTAAGCCCATAACCAATAGTTCGAAAGCAGGAAGTTTCAGTTTTTGCACTCTGCTATACTCTGCTCAAGCTCTCGACCCAGGACCATTGTGGCTCCACCAGACAAAAACAACGATTAAGCTCTAAAGCTCTACCCAAGCCCACAGACCCCGAACCCCAAACCCCGAATCCCAAGCCCCACCCCGAACCCCAAATTAAACCGGATTCTATCCGCTGATTATCCAGGCATGACTTCTTCTAAAATTGGTCTGAGTCCAACGCCGACATTTTTTACATGGCCAATCCCTGTTCTGTTCTCAAGGCTCTGCTTGCTGACCGTCCTCGAACCTGCGCCTACAAACCTCTCAGCTGCCATTTCGTTTTACTGCGGCTGGGGTATACTAGGTATCTTCAGTCTTACCCCCCCTCACCCGTCTCTAAAGCTGATATGGAATGGAAGGTCCACATACAAATCCCAAAGCCTTGCTAAATGTCACCATGTGAGGTACCCTCTGCCCAAGCTTGACACGCGACTCGTCAGCAGACGCCACAGACCCATCAATGACCCTTCAATTCGCCCTAGATGGGAGGTAGTGACCAGGTAGTGTTACTGAGCAACCGGTCCTTGGATAAAGGACAGAGGTTTCTCGTAGCTCAACCCCTCTTCTAAGCCCCCAAACCCTCAAGCCCTCAAGCAGACGATCCTCCATATACCTAACGGGAGCAAGAGGCGAAAGGTGCCTTTACAGACGCCTGGGTACGAAAACATTTGAGGGTCGAAATCGCCGCGCCTAGCTGAAGAAGTCCACGATGGAAGCCTTCCATCATGCGGGCAGCAATCGCAACTTGGAGCTGGCCTACAAGAGAGGCCGGCACCCGCCTTGACTCTGATCTCGACAAATCGCAAGCCCTTGTGGTCGACTGGGGCGACCCTTACGAGCTGTAGGAGGGAAGCCGCATCCGGCTCGTCGGTCAGGACCCTGGCTAGATAGAACACCAACTGTACCGGGAGCAGCACTCCGCAGTGAAGAAGGGGAGTACCCTGCTGCGGATCGATGTTCGAGCCCCCCTCTGCCGTGGGTCGCCGAGTGTTCGAGCCGGTGCCACGGTGGCGTTTGCCGGTTTCGGTGGGCCCTCTTCGAGGTGCAAGAGACATTTGGATGAGGCTACCGTCACGGACAGGTGACTTGATACCTGCCTTGGCATTGGGGAGCGAGAACCGTAGTCCATCCAGTTCATCCAATAGCAACCACCACCAAATCTCCGGACGCGCCAACTCATACCACGATAGATCAAAGACACGGCCTTCGGGCAGCCGTAGCACCGGGTCGCAGAACTGGACCAGCGCTATAGAAACTGCCAACAGGGGTGTGAGACACACCCGGAAAGCCCCACTGGCCGTACAGTGTCGCAGCATGAGAGCACGATCGGCAAAGTCGACCACTCGCGCTCCGAAGTTCTGAGGGCTGATCTTTACTTCGCAAGCCGGCAATGAAACAGGCAGCGAAAGAATGGAGAGGCAATCCGTCCTGCTGGAGAGAAGATGCTGTGGCGCCATCACACTAGCAGTTTTTTTTTTGGCGTGGGCGGGCCTCGTCGACTACGGCTGTAGCACTCGGTCCCAGTAAGAAGTGAATGTAAACAAGAAGATAATGAAGAACTGTACAAAAAGATCCTAATGGGTGAAACAAGTCGCGACTTGCAGACTTAGCCAGCAGGGATCGTTCGACCTTCTGAATATAGCGCCTCTCAGTTGGCCTTCTCCGGAGCGGCAACCAGCTGCGCAGAAGCATGGGCATCCTTGAGTATAACAGGGCAGAAAATAGGAGAGCCACGCGCACCAGCTCCAATCCAAAGTGCCATACTGGAGAATCCCAGTTCCCCGACATGTGGGTTTTGAGAAGAAACCAGCGGCTGCAATGTGACAGAGAGGCCGCGCACAGGCAGACCATCCTCAGTAGAACGCGATAGGCCAACCAGACCCAGCTTCCCATGGATGGGCATCGCAAGGGCCAATCGGGGATTGCACAGCGGTCCAGCCCAGCTTACCACATGGGTATCGCAAGGGCACAGCACAAGAGCGCAACGCATCGAGTGCGTTGAATCAAGGTCCAGCTGTCCGCCGGACATGGCTTCCCAGTGCAAACATCGCAGAAGTTGATCGGACGGGTCACCACGGTGCAGCCTGATAAGCCCAGCTTCCCAGGAATGGGTATCGCAAGATCTTATCGTAAGACACGAGTTGCGTAGCACCGCCCGGCAACCTACCAAAACAAGTGTCGCACGGAGAAAGATTAGCCTGAAGCCTGGCGGTCAAAGATGCTGAGGACCGATATCGACTAAGGACAGAGAAGCAGCGCGGAGCCGACCAGCTCTTTCACACCAGGTTTAGCTTCCCGGAGGGAGGCCTCGCCGGGGTTAAGCGGGAATAAGAGAACGGCACTGCCCAGCTTCCCACCATGTGGGTATCGCAAGGGCCACAGACGAGGTAGTATTGCAACCAAGTCCGGGGTCATGAGCTCAATGTCGATATGTAATGGCTGTGCACTCCCCCAAATTGGCTCCGAGATTGCGAAATTGTCCACACCCGAGGGTTGGTGAGGACGCACTGACGCGTCTGCCGGGTGGTACCAAAACCCGTCTTTCAAAGTATTAAAAGTCACGATATATAAATGTCGTATATCTCGGAAAGGAATCAATCAAATATCTTTCCGGAATATAAAGAAAATCTCATTCAGCATGTCATGGTCGCCGAAAGACTCGCACGGTCTTTTTCACACTCCCTCGCATCTGCTCGGTGCTTGTAAGAGACAGGGGAAATCGCAAGGAGCCGCAAGTGGAGAAACTCACTTGTCTGGCTCGCATCTGGCATCTGATCACACATCTCTGGAAGCATCAGAGATTCTCCCCCGGGTAGGGCGGGTGGGTCAAAACAAAATTTTCTCTCGGCTGCAAGCCGGTGAGCTTCAGATGCAGTAACATGCTTCACTGCTCATGAAAAAGGAAACATGAACATGAAATCAAGCATGTCGAAAATTTGTTAGAAAACTTGTTTTCTTTAAAACTCGAGCAAGGGAGGTGAGACGTCAAGAGGGTTTTGGTTTCGCTTCGTTCCTACGCCCCACCCAGCAGACAGAAGCACCCGCACGCGGACACTAGACGTCTGCCGGGTGGTACCAAAACCCGTCTTTCAAAGTATTAAAAGTCACGATATATAAATGTCGTATATCTCGGAAAGGAATCAATCAAATATCTTTCCGGAATATAAAGAAAATCTCATTCAGCATGTCATGGTCGCCGAAAGACTCGCACGGTCTTTTTCACACTCCCTCGCATCTGCTCGGTGCTTGTAAGAGACAGGGGAAATCGCAAGGAGCCGCAAGTGGAGAAACTCACTTGTCTGGCTCGCATCTGGCATCTGATCACACATCTCTGGAAGCATCAGAGATTCTCCCCCGTCATGGCTGATGCTTCGTATAAGCAGCCACAGCAGACTCGAGCGATGCAACACAGAAACTCGGCTCCATGATGAATCTGACCATCTCCTCAGGGGGCGTAAACTCACCCTGGTCAGTAGCATTGAAGATGCGGCAAAGCTCGCTGGACTCGTCCCTCGACGGCAGGTCAGCCGGGTTGCTCTTGGAAGGGACCCGGTGATACCATGCTCCGACAGGGTGTACCGAGTCCATGACATTTACAAGCGCCATCAGTCTGAACATCGCTTCTGATTGGCTGCTTCGTTTGATAAGAGTCGCAAGCGCAGAGTTGTTATCGATGAAGATGAACGCCTTGCGAGCAGACATCCTCTTACCATAAACCCACTTCGCGCAGACCACAGCGAAGAGCTCCACCTCGCAGATGATTTGCTCGCCGACTTGAGTGTGCCACATCTTGCGAAGCTCTTCTGGAACGACTCCGGCCAAGACGAACTTCTCTCCTGACTCTAGGTCCACGAAGAAAGAGCCCCACTTGGCAACTTCGTCCTCATAGGACCCGTCGGTGTATACGATCACCGGCTTCCTGGGGTCAGAAACGGTAATCGTCCTCGGTCTGAGGGATGAGAGAGTCGCAGCAAGCAGGTCATTCATTTGCTTCAGCGCTTCCGCCCCAAAGCTCGAAGGTCGCGCTGAAATTCTAGAGCAGATCCTTGCAATCGGTTTCAGGGATGATCCGAGGGTGAAGCCTGAGGCGAAGTTAAGCAGGCCATGCAGCGAAGTCGCCAGCTGGCGCAGATCAGCACCTTCATCAAGCATCGCACCTGCCATACCTCGAATCCGATCGACTCTTCCTTCCTTGTTGGAAATTTCAAGACGACCTTCATGAAGTTTGGAAACATCAAATTTTGCGCCGAGTGCTACCCATGTGCTGGTGAAGTCAATCGCCTTCTTGCCAGTGGTAGCATGGACCCAGCCGAGGGCCGTCAGCAGTCGCGAGAAAACCGAAGTTGCGCTTTGGGTTAAAGGCCCAATTTCAAGAGTCGGGAAGTCATCTACGAACACTGAGGTCACCATGCGCAGCTTTTCCACGGCCACATGCCATATCGCTCTTGACACCCTGTTGAATGCAAAGACGGACCCACTGCCACCAAAGGGAAGACCACGAGCCAGGTAGAAGACCCATTTGCGTTTTCGATCAGGCATCGCGATCACAGCGTATTTGAGGGATGATTCAAGCACTGGGACCTGCTTGTAGGCCTTCGACAGGTCGAAGCATCGGCCCGTCCACTCGGCTCGCAAGCTATCCGGATGCCAATGGCCAGTGAGAACCTCACCCGTGGACAACGGGACCCTGACCTCGTCCTTGCAGTTCCAGACATCGGCTATGAGCATCGTCAAGGCAGTTACGAAGTCAATATCGTGGAGATGAAGATGTGATGTAGATCCGAACGATGCGTTGATCCCCGAGTCGCGAAGGTTATCTATGACTCTGGGCTTGCGCTCTTCGCCCTGGAGGAGAAGAAAGCGTTGGCTTGGGGACCACTCCTCCGAGCCTAATCTTTCCGCGACTGCAGCTTCGTCAAAGAATGGCCCTTCCAGAAATCCCAGTCGGCACTCCTCCTTGGTCTCGGCATTGAGGATCTCCAATTCGTCATCTGCCAAAGCCTGGGGAGGTTTCGACAGAAGCTCACGTCTTCTCCATACAGCCTGAGAGTCAAGCTGCTCCGGGGTCGCCTTCGTCGGCCTGGGTCTCGGTGGAAACAATGGAGAAGAAGGCTCGATTCCAACCAAGGGGACGCCCTCTTCCATGAAGGTGCAAACCTCAGGGTCGGGGAACTGCGTCTCAGTCACCAGCTCCCTGAACAAAGAAAGACACTTGTCCTTGGTGATGGGATGCTTGTTGTCGCTGCCGAGCTCAGCCGCCCTCTTCTCGATCGAGACGATCTCCTTCTCCCTCAGCTCCCGAATGAAGGTTGGTCCCAATGTGGCAATGTCGAAGATGGCCCTCCTGATGTTGTCCGGCACTGACCCCGTAGAGTCCACTGAGTGATTCAAGTTTGAGGCCTTCTGCACATGCTCCTCCATCGAATGGTAGATTCCCCAAGCACACGCCTTAGGGCCTCCAGGCTGAGAATGCACCAATCGCCCGGCTTCATGCTCCCCCGCTGTGTTGGAGGGTGATGGGCAGTCTGATGGCAAGAGAAAACCCAAACTCCGCAAGGTCTGACATTGTGCAGGGGACAGACCTTGCCAGGCCCTTGTAACATATGCCACCAGAGTGACTCTCTTGCCCAGGGCTGGCAACACCTCGTGTGGCATGGCTGACTGCAGGAAACAGGGTCCCTCGGATACCGGGAGAATGGTATCGTTGACAGCGATGCCTCCCTGCTGGAAGCAGGAAAGCGGAATGACCACGTTCATGAAGGAATGATCGTTATGTTGATCCACATGCCGAGGGCTGTAGAAGTCAGAAAAGACAGCCAAAGCGCTAAAGGCAGCCTGCGGTGCGAAGTGTCTGGCCAACGGGGCCAAAACGCAGCTGACAGATGGCATAGAAGAGGAGGCCCCATGCAGCCCAGCCTGAGGTCCGAAGACATAGGCCCCAGTCATCCACGCCAAGCCCGCATGTAGTTTGGCGCGCCTCGAACTAGGAGACTGCGACAGCAAGGAAACCATCTGAAGAACCTGATCCTGAGACGCCAAGCGGTCCTGTAGCATGGTCCACGCCAGTTTCTCAGCCGGCTCGGCACTCAGAGGGGTCTCAAGCGAAATGTCAAGGGACAACGGGACGGGCCACCCTGGGGCGGCATGGCAGTTGTCGCACTGAGAAGAGGGGACTTCCGGTAACGGTTTGCATGGCTGATTCGGGCGATCAGCGCCCCACACGATAGACTTAAACTCGGGTATCAAAGGCTGATGTTTCACGGTCTGGGCGCCAACAGCAGCCAAGGAGTCGAGACGAAAGTGCAGCCTCGTGGTATCCAGGAGCGCAGGCGAAACAGCGGCAGTAGCGGCTGACACAAGACGCTTGCACAGCAATCGTGGGTATTGCGCTTCGGAGGCCGTGTCGAAATTCCACTTGCCTCCCGACCACTGGTGCCCATATGGGGCGTGATCGTGAAGTCCATCGCACTCCATGGCCAAGGAGCTGAAGGCGCCTGGGCTGGAGCGTAGGCGGGTGTCCTTTTTGCGTTGGCCCCCGTGCATGCACATCGAAAAATGGACATCCTCAAGCTGAAAGAACCAATCAACGAAATCTGGGCAGCCATGATCACGTCCGAAGCGGGTAACAAGCTGAGCCAAAGCCGCCCAGGTCCATGCCCGAGACGGGTTCTCAATCGTGATGAGAGCGTTGGCCTTCCAAGCTGCGAAGAGCGCATGAACGCAAGTCACATAGACAGCGTTGGCTGACTCCACCCGTTGGCGCTCGAGCGGGGAAAGATCGGGTAACCCTAAGGGGAACCTAGCCGACCTAAGAGGTCTAGGGGCGGGGACTCCCTTGGCACGCAGCTTGGGGCTAACTGGCAACTGGCGGGCTCGGCTTGATGTGCCGCAAGGAAGGCCGAAGTGGATCCAAAGCGGCCGAACGTGATGGATGAGGTCATCCACGAGCTTACGCGAAGAGAGTGTGCTCAAGTCAAGCGGGAGAAAAGAAACAAGGGATTCAAAACGATTGCTGTGATGATCGATGGGATACACCTGCCATCCTTGGGACGCAGCTGCGTGGGACAAAATGGCCGAGCCACAGCACAACTCGACGAAAACTGCATATGGTGCCACGTCAGTAGTGGGCGGGCCCGGAGGGCCTAGTCACGAGTGCTTGCACTCACAGTATGGGACTCCCTTGCGCAAGCAGTCCTTATGCCAGCAGTTATGCAGTCCGCGGTTGCAGCGATCCTTAGACTGCTGAGGGCATTTGCCATGCTGGAACAGGACACAGAGGAATTGCCGAGTCTTGGGCATGCGTGACACGCAACCTTTGGGCATCTCCTTGAGCAACTGCAGAATCTCAGCACGCTTGGGGTCCACAGAGTCATCCCACTTTCTTTTGTTGCCCTTGTCGCCCTTGGCGCCTTTGCCACCGCGACCACGACCCCCTTTTGCCTCCTGGCCCGTATGATCCGGCTTGTTTTCCGGACCCTTGCCGGAGCCTTTCGGGAGATTGGCGAGGCAGATGTTGACACGGGTGTGAGTGGACAAGGCGGCCATGAACTTATCCAACGGCGGGTCGGCGCCAGCGACGACTTTGAGCTCGCCTCGGCTTTCCTGAGCAATGAGCTGCCACAGCTCACGGTCGGCATTCAGTGCTTGAGCGATGCTGGTGAACTTATGCCCCGGCGGAGGATCACGTGTGATGGCGTCGAACATGTGAGTATGCCATCCTTCATGAACCGCAAAGGATAGGACGTTCAGCTGGACTTGTTGCCCGGGACGATCGGCCGAGATTTCTAAGGCTCGAGACGGGCACTTGTGCGGTGGAAGGTATACAAGAGCGCCGGAGTCGATCATCGATTGGATTTTGTCGATGAGCCCATGAGACGGTTCCACCCGTTCGGTGAACACCACCCCCTGCAGCCTCTTCTTCTGATTTTGAAGTCTGGTCATTCTCTCAGCAAGAGGTAATTCGCGAGGAGGGTCGAGGGATGATCTTTCAACTCTTTGTTTGAGATCCGATATGGCAAACGTGTTGGCCTCGTACCAGAGCCTTCTCAGGTCAGGAATCTCGGTCGGGTCGAGCTTCCGCTTGATCAAGTCTTCGACCGCTTGGATCAGTCCGGTATCATCACCGCTCTGAGGGTTCACAGCACATATGTAAGCCAGGTGCCCAAACGTTTTGATGCCGACGTTCCGGAGAGCCTCCAAGAAGGCCGCCTCCATGTTGATGGCCTGGGCTCGGGCCGTGAATTCAGCCTCAGACTCTAGCATGGTAGACGCCATGGCTCAGGAGATCTCCCAGCAAGCAAAAACTCTAACTGAAGCAAAAGCTTGCAGTCGCGTCGTCGGGTTCACCCGGTTGCGTTCATCACATCGGCAATGCCGGCCAGTGCTCGAGGCCTTTTTGTTTCTCCTGCCAAACGTCCCATTGGTCAGGCGGCTTGATCCCACGGTGCTCGGGCGGATCTGCATTGCTCACAAAAGACATCTTCGCCCGGCTGCCGAGGGTTAAATGTGTATTTCTCGTAATTCCCATTCAAGGTACGCCCGCATCTCAGCATGGAGGCAGGGGTCCCGATGGCGTGAACGATATATGAGATCCGATGGCGAACGTATGCTCCCGTCTCTGGCGGCTCGCGATCTTCAATGAGACCGGGCACCAGGCTGGGCAACGCTCCAAGTCCATCGTGGTCTTCGGCTGATACATCAGACAACTCAGATTCGTCGAGCTTTTCCAAGTCCTGTGCTTGGCGCTCGGCATAAGGCTCGATGTCCGCTTCCTCGTTCAATTTCTGAACGAGGCTGTGCAACCTGGCCGCCCTGGGCTGATCCGGGTCGAACTGGTCACTTCTGATGGCATCAACCAAATGCTGGAGCTTTGCCAAGACGGGCGTCATCACATCACGACCGTAAGTGACGATCATCTTTTCGCCAGGAGCCACATGATGCCCCAGTACTCGCTTCTCGTGCTTGCTGAATTTACCCGACTTGGTCGCCCACGATAAGGGCGTGGCCTTCAGAGAATGGGTGGTCAGGTCTTTGACCTCATCAGGGTCCATGCCATTGTCGCACAAGATCTCCTGCAACCATGCGGAGCCCTCCGCCGAGGTCATGGGCCGGTCCATCCAAGCATCTGACTGCTCCGAATAAGCAGGCATGAGGATCCTGCTCTCATCCAGACCCATCCTTGAGCGGGCACTCAACCAAGCTGTTGCCCAAGGTTCCTCCTCGAAGGTGTGTCCCAGGGCGATGAGGGGCATGAATGTTGTTCTGTCGTCGGCCTTCTTGGCCGTCTTATGGCCAAGCATCACTGCCTCAACTAGGAACACACGTCCATGGGAATCCATCTTGAGACCGGTGGCTTTGGCTGCGTCCCCCCACCTTGCAGTAGAGAAAAGGCAAAACAGCCCGAATCCACAGATCACCGCATGCAAGTCACTGCCTGCGAAGACAATGGCCTCAAGCCTTCTGACCGCCAACACCTTGTACGGAGGAGCTTGTTTGAGAGGCCGCTTCTTCAAGTAACACGTGTGGGCTGCCCCCTCGACTCGCTGAGAGACGATGTTGTCCTCAGAGGCACTCCCGGTAGTGAAGTGGAAGAAACGCCAGGCCGAAATGAAGGCCGCTGCCGAAGTCGGCGCAGCCTCAGATGCTCGAAGCTGACAAACGTAATCGTACATGTCCTTCTCGAGCACCCTCAGAGGCTTGCCACGGTTGACCTGAACCTGCCACTTCGCGAACTTCAAGTAGTCACAGGACCTCTTGCTCAAAGTACTGGTAGCCTTCTTTGCATATGTATCGTCAAAGATGGCCGCCATTTGGTGTTCTGGCACCAGCATCCCGCTCAGTTCAAGCAATGATCGGCCAAGGCGGGAGTCGTTTGGGTCATACAGGGCAACCTCCTTTATTCTAGAGATCGCCGCAATCCTCAACTGGTCCTCGGAACGGGACATCCGGGTTGCGAACAACCTCTTGGCCTTGAAGGGCTGCAAAGCAACCCAATCAGTCCGATTGGACGAAGAGGCCGACGAGGTCATGCGCGCGAAGAGATCAGCTCGGCCAAGCACTGGCAGAGCAAACGGGTAAGTCGGGCGAAATCCCGATGGCCCGCTGAAGACCTCTCTCCCAAAACCGGTCTCCCACATGAACTTCAAGGATGACTTTCTCTTCTCCTCAAACAAAGCCTGAGCCACGGCAGGGTGGACCTCCGCAGCCTCGTACGGTGCGACTGAGCTCTGTGCTGGGGCCGGGCCGGTCTGAAGAACTCAGCCCCGTCAGTGTCGGGGCCATCCTCAGCAGCCTCGCGGTACCACTCGGCCTCGCCTCGCCGCGACCCTCCTACATGGGACCACGAACGCTCCTTCTCATCGGAGCTCCCCAAGTTCGACTCAAAGCCGTAACTTCTATGTTCCGAGGCCCCATCCTGGGCCTCATCCAACCAATCCTCGCCATGGCCGGATGGCTCGGGATCGGACTCGAAGTCCTGCATCCTGCCTTCCAAAACTCGAGATTACAAGCACAGCCGACCAATTCACTTTTAATGCCCTTATGCAATGACAGACACAAAGCACAGCTGCACGACGGCAAGGATCAGCTTTTACAAGCACGCTATGCGTTCACTTGAAAAAAAATCACTCCACTGCCCTTCGCTCAAGTCCATTCCCAATGTTCTTCCCTTGCACGAGCACGCTCTGAGAAAGGGACTTCCTGCCGCTCCTTTCCCCCGCCAGCCGTGGCAGGAAAGTTCAAGGTCAGCAGGGATTAGGCTACAGGGACCTAAACCGAAAGAGGGCGGGAGCCAGGAAACGTGGGGCAACTGGCGTCAGGGGCGAAGCCTAAAGAATGGCAGCAAGCGGAAGTGCACGGTACGAGCACTCGAAGCTAAGTGTACCCACTGATCGGCCTCAAGGTACAGGAGAACACGGGCGAACCTGTAGCTAGCCGTGAAGGCCACCATGTGTCCTCGCAAAATGAGGGTCTTGAGTCCAGGCCGTCTGCTAGCACAACGTTCAAGGCGAGGCACATGAAAACTGCGCAAGCGAATGCGAACAGGCTGGAAGACTGTGACCGGCAACTCACTGCTGTCAGTATCGGAGTCACTGGTGAAAGCACTGGACTCGGAATCATAAGAGGACTCTCTGCAGCTTGAAGCAGCCCGAGGCCGAGGCGCATCCATGAGAGACACCGACGCTAGGCTAGCAGCAAACACCCTAGGAAAAATGGCTTTGCACGTAAGATCATGAAAAACTGCACATGGAGCACTCATGTGATCTTCCTGACTCGCCCCTCAGCCAGGGGAGGCGGCGCGGAAGAATGTAATCATCTCTCTGCATCTGGGACTTCCATGAAGCACTCAGGCACGAAGTGAACTCGCTGCATGCGGGAAGAACTCACGCAAGCACGGATTTGTTTTGAAGCTCGCTGGATCAGCGGTGATCTGAAACACTGTGGCCTATAGAACTGAAGTGCTAGCACCTTCGAGGATCCAGCACGCCCACAAAGACTATGGCCGAAGCCTCAAGAGATCCGTCGGAAGAAACCAGGAGGCCACCGAAGGAAACCATCACGATCCACGGCTGCAAGAGGCGACCAGCTCAATCTTGGGGCACAAAAGCAATTAGGCATCACGCTGACGGCGCAAAGAAGCAGCAAAGCGGCGAGTGAACTTGCCCTGCAATACCAAATGAAGAGTGCGTCTAAAATTTCTCAGAGCAAAAGCCTCAAGGCTCTCGTCATGATAAAGCCGCTGACCTCCAGATTGCAAGTGGATGGAGAGGCCGATAACATGCCACGCTGGCCAGATACCGTTGGCCTCCTGGCAGGTCGCCGCAGCCGAGTTAAGCAGGGATGTAAGCGGCAGATCGCTAGCCCAAGAAGTGTTGCTTGTGACAATACCGTCCATCACAATCTCGGCTTCACCAGTAAGCGGGGGAGCGAATTGCTCCCTAGCCTTGAGCTCGGACGCCCAAGCTCTCCCAAGAGCTTCAGCCTGGCGGGCCTCCCGAGTAGGAGACTCGCATGCAACAAGCTCATCACCGGAGTCAACGGCAGCTGGGATGGCAGCACCTCCAGGAAACAGGTCGGACAGACGATGATCATTGTTATCGCTGTCGGATGAGACATGGCTGCGCGCAGCAGCCAAAGCGGAGCCACCAGCCACGTCCAGAGGATCCGGAAAGATATCAGAGATAAACCCTGACACAGGCGGCACAGAGGATCCTGCCGCCCTTGGTCCATCTCGGTCGCTTGCCAAAAGACCTCTGAGGCCCGCCGCAGCTTGCCGAGCGGAGTCCGACATGGAGCCGACGGAGCTAGACTTCTAGAATGCGAGCCTGCAGCCCCACACCTTACGGCCCCAAGGACTCAAAACAAAATTTTCTCTCGGCTGCAAACCGGTGAGCTTCAGATGCAGTAACATGCTTCACTGCTCATGAAAAAGGAAACAGGAACATGAAATCAAGCATGTCGAAAATTTGTTAGAAAACTTGTTTTCTTTAAAACTCGAGCAAGGGAGGTGAGACGTCAAGAGGGTTTTGGTTTCGCTTCGTTCCTACGCCCCACCCAGCAGACAGAAGCACCCGCACGCGGACACTAGACTTCCCGGCAACCTGCAGGTCGTGTCAGGCACGTCGCCAAAGGAAGGGAGCTACGCAGGGGCCAACGAGCTCCTTCAAACCAGGTGTAGCATCCCGTGGGGAGACACCTCCGGGATCGAGCGGGAACAATGGAACGGCAATGCCCAGCTTCCCACCATGCGGGTATCGCAAGGGCGCCACACGAGGAGGCATTGCAACAGGGTCCAAGGGCATGGACCCGCGGTCGACCAGTACTGGCTATGCACTCCCCAAGAAACAGCCCTGAGATTGCAAAATCGCCCACGCCCAATGGTTGGTGTGGGCGCATAGACGCTTCCCTGTAATAGACAGGTCATGTCAGGCACGTCGCCCAAGGAATGGCAGACCCAGGGGCCCAGCGGGCCCAAAGGATATTGCAGGCCGACTTCGACCGGCGGACAGAGTCTCCTTAACATCGCCTGGCTTCCCACCAAGGCGGGTGTCGAAGGGCATGGCTAAGAAGAGCTAGAATCCGAACGATTCTCAGTGTTGCGTGCCTGTATCGGCGGTCGTAGCCGCGTAAGCGGCAGCGCGCACTCTGGCTCCATGGAGAAATACGGTACCCCCCACAGAGCCGGGCACGCAAAAGACCAGGGTTGCAACTCAATAAGCGCAGATTGCAGGTCAGCCATGTGTACGAAGTCTGCTCCCCAGTAGAGACAATGGACC